TATTGTATATTATTAATGTTTAGGTTTCTATTGTATAGTATTAATGTTTAGGTTCCTATTGTATATTATTAATGTTTAGGTTCCTATTGTATATTATTAAATTTTAGGTTCGTATTATATATTATTAAAATTTCGGTTCCTATTGTATATTATTAATGCTTAGGTTCCTATTGTATATTATTAAATTTTAGGTTCGTATTATATATTATTAAAATTTCGGTTCCTATTGTATATTATTAATGTTTCGGTTCGTACTGCGTGTTTAGTATTCATACCAGACTTTATCTGTTTGAAAGTGAATCTGTTAAAATTTAGATAGATAAATAGGTAATCTCATGTATAACAACAAAACCCCTATGTTGACCGGGTTAATTTAAAGTCTGGAATATTTTTTCTATTTCCTATTTTTATATACAAGCTGTTGATTCAGTTTAAAAGTTTAAAGTACACATCGACCACAATAGGACGATTTTTTTTTTTTGTAGTTAGAACAAAGCTACACGATGGGCTATCTGTGGTCTGCCTTCGATAGCTAATAGGATCTAACCAACACGATATCAGTGATGTAAAAAGCCATATCTCTTTTGTTTTGTAGTTAGATCAAAGCTACACGATGGGCTATCTGTGGTCTGCCTTCGATAGCTAATAGGATCTAACCAATACGATATCAGTGATGTAACAAGCCATATCTCTTTTGTTTTGTAGTTAGATCAAAGCTACACGATGGGCTATCTGTGGTCTGCCTTCTATAGCTAATAGGATCTAACCAACACGATATCAGTGATGTAAAAAGCCATATCTCTTTTGTTTTGTAGTTAGATCAAAGCTACACGATGGGCTATCTGTGGTCTGCCTTCTATAGCTAATAGGATCTAACCAACACGATATCAGTGATGTAAAAAGCCATATCTCTTTTGTTTTGAAATTTCGCGGATAATTACTTGAGGACTACCTTGTGCTAGCTGTCCATAATATAGAAGTGTTAAATTAGAGAGAAGGCAGCTTGTCAAAACCACCTACCGCCAACTCCTGCGCTACTATTTAATCAAAAACAAAAGTGGTATTGACCGTCACATTAAACACTCCCACTGATGACAGGACTCGAACTCTCGACCAGCAGTCTGCTACTCGAGCGCCCTAGCTACCAGGCTCCAATATATCCTCAGATATAACAGATTTTAAAATCTGCTGCAACTTCGTTTTTATCCGTAAGATGGCGCTACGTGAACACTGAGATTATGTTTTCTTTTGAACGCTAACGAACCCCAGCTAGAAGTAAGGGACGCGCGTGACAACGAAGTTGCATACGAAGAGTGAAACATGATAGTTTTATAAAGAATAATGACGCCTGTGTTGAAGTGTCTAGTTTTTATGTATTGGTCACTACTACTGTCATCGCTTGAGAATAGACAGGTCAGGGGTCAGGGTAAGTAACCTATGTATCTAATGTATTGATGAGGCTTTTCCTTCTTCAGTATTCACTGTATCACATGCTCTAACCTGTCGCCCCTAAGCAGCTATTCAAAGTCTGAATCGCGATGGTTATATTTGTCTCTTGTTATCAGTGTAAGAAAGATATCTTTTATCAAAGTCTGAATCGAAATGGTTATATTTATCAATTGTTATCATTATAAGAAGGATATCTTTTATCAAAGTCTGAATCGAGATGGTTATATTTATCAATTGTTATCATTATAAGAAGGATATCTTTTATCAAAGTCTGAATCGAGATGGTTATATTTATCAATTGTTATCAGTGTAAGAAGGATATCTTTTATCTGTTCTATGTTTTTTTTATGTCATATCTTCAGCGAAATGTAATGTAGTTTAAGAATGAAGTTTACAACAATGGAGTTTACAGTAATAAATGATAGAAGATTTGGGTTCAGAAATAACGTAAATGTAAAATATAGAGCGAAAGCTGACATCAGTTTGAAAACGTCTCGTCATATAAATAGATTAAACTTGGCTGTAAAGTAAAACCTTCGGCATCTGTTCTTCTGATGAAATTAGGCTGTAAAGTAAAACCTTCGGCACCTGATCTTCTGACAAACAACACTTTTCCTACACAGCTACTAATCCTCGTCTACAACCATTTTCACTTTAGGTGTTAATGAGAGAGAAAGGGGGGGAAACGCATACACAGATGTATGTGTGAGATAAATATATAACTTTTATCTGTGTGGACATAAAATGGTTGTTAGTAATGACGTCATATACTGGCGCCGTCTATTACAGTCACCAAGGCGACCGTAACAGTCGGATGTCGTTATTAGTTCAATTGTAGTGTATCCTAAAACGAATTTAGGCTACGTCTAACCTAGTTAGAAAATCATTTTCTTAAATTACCCCAGTGTGAAACAGTTTAGAGTTTCATGAGTAAAACATATTTTTCAGGTTTCATAGAAAACTTAGATCGTTTAAGTGTGGATCCAAAGTTTAAGGAACCCATAGTTTAATTATTTCGATTGTGAGACTGTAGTGTAACTGTTTGGAACAGTTTTATATATTTGTTTGTAAAACTTACAGTATAATTATCATATCTAACACCTGTTACCGTGTAATATCGTGTTTACTATAAACACGATATTAACGTTTACAAATATATGTTCTCTGAGAAAATGTTTCCAGACTTCATTATGTCTTAACTCACGTGCTAAGTTGTGCTTGCCCACGTTCTTCGTAGACCGTTACTGTAATATTGATCTGCTCGTAACGTTTGGTAGACTCCTCGTACTGCAGTAGTGGATAAAACCGTTTCAAATATTGAGTTTTGCTGAATTCTGTCATTTTCCAAAGTATATTTATAAGTGTTAAGTTCAAGTAAACATTAAAAAAGCTTGCTGTGAGCTAGTGTAGGCCTTGTGCTGAAAATACGGTACTTTTTCTTATAAAACGTGCAGCCATGTTTTACCAAACACCGTTCAATGATCACAGACAGCTATGGAAGATAACTACTGATGTAAGATCCCGGTGCACGAGAACTATTCGTTTACTCACTGGATCGAACTGCCAAAATATAAAACGTTAAGACTACGTGGATCGGTACTCTCGCTCTACCGTTCGGTAGTAATTGGTTTTCCGACGATAAAAATCGATTTTTTTTTGTATTTGCCATACCATGTTTTTAGACATTGTACAGTTTTGAATTGATTGATTAAATTGGACTTTAAGTAAGAATAGTAAAATGTACGCTTAGTAAAAATAATTCTAATTCATAAAAAATCTCCATAAAAAATGAAATAGAAAAATATTTATTTTATTCTGACGCTTCGAAAAGTGTACTTCAGTTGATGGCGCTTTATAAGTAAGAGGAATGTCCTCTTTCAGTTGGTGGCGCTTGAATCGGTAAACTAATAAATATTTTTTATAATTCTTTTTTTATGGAACTTTTTGAATGACTACCCGTTGGTTGGCATTTAAAATATTGTTACGACAACGCAGGTCACGTGACGCTCGTATCACGCCACTTCCTTCTCGAACCTTCATGAAATGTCGGGAGACTACTAGATTGGGGTAGCCTTGTATATATATATAAGACCGGCCAAGAAGCAACGTGAGGTAATGAGTAAGAATATTGTTGAGCACGTGAGAAGTTCGTTGTGAATTATAGCGTTTGTTATAGAGCTACTTGAAATTAAGTGTATCGCAAATTTGTATTCAGAAAAAATAAACCAGTTTTATTTAAGAAAGGACTTGTATCGGTAACAATATATTATTGTTCCATTGTCTAGTTGGTTGGCCTTTAAAAACCGTTAAAATATATCTCAGGAACAGGAGATTATTGTACCATCGTCTAGTTGGTTGGTCTTTAAAAACCGTTAAAATATATCTCAGAAACAGAAGATTATTGTACCATCGTCCTGTTGGTTGGCTCTTAGAAACCGTTAAAATATAGCTCAGAAACAGGAGATTATTGTACCGTCGTCCAGTTGGTTGGCCTTTAAAAACCATTAAAATATAGCTCAGAAAGAGAAGATTATTGTACCGTCGTCCAGTTGGTTGGCTTTTAGAAAGCGTTAAAATATAGCTCAGAAACAGAAGATTATTGTACCATCGTCCTGTTGGTTGGCCCTTAGAAACCGTTAAAATATAGCTCAGAAACAGGAGATTATTGTACCGTCGTCCAGTTGGTTGGCCTTTAAAAACCGTTAAAATATATCTCATTGACTGATGCTGTCAACGAAACAAACAAGTTCGTGAAAAGATATCCATTTTCCTTAGCTTTTATCTTGTTTTTTAAAGTACCTTGAGAAGAGCGTTGCATTTTAAATCGGACGGCTTTCCATCATATTCATCACAACATATTGTTCCGTCAGCGAGGTCACGTGACTAGTATCACGCCACTTCCTTCTCGAACCTTCGTGAATTGTCGGGAGATTACTAGATTGGGGGTAGCCCTGGTATATATATATAAGATGGTCACAACGTGACGGGACAATGTGTAGGTAGTGAGTAATTGAACTGCAGTCAGAGAGTGTGTAATTGAAAGGAGTATCGTTGAAGTTGAGCACGTGAGACGTTCATTGTTATAGCGCGACTGTTGAAATTAAATGTATCGTAAAGTTGTATTCGGAAAGAATAAACCAGTTTTATTTAAGAAAGGACTTGTGTCGCTAAAGTTTCGTCAGACGAAGTTACGGAAAATTAACTAACGAACAGAGACGTAACAATATTAATTCTTTTCTCGTTTCACTGAGTTACGGCCTTAATCTATCAATCAGAACAATTTCTTGTCAACTTTTCCATCGTTTCGTCTTGCAAAAATATTTAATGAACTGTAACGTACTGCTACTTCACGTTCATTGAGCGCGTGAATCTAATGTAGAGTATATATTTAAACACGCAAGCTGTGTTTTTATACATGTTGAATTGAGCATTAGGTGGTTAAAAACCCTTTAAAAAGAAAACGAACATTTCACGACCAATTTCAAATCAAGTAAATGTAACCATGTGTTCAGTGTTGAGATGTAGCATATTGAACTGTTTACATAATAATGATTCCTTAAAACTATTGTTACGTCTCCGTTCGTTAGTTCATTTTCCGTAACTTCGTTCCGACGAAACTTTAGCGACACAAGTCCTTACTTAATAAAACTGGTTTATTCTTTCTGAATATAACTTTACGATACATTTAATTTCAACACGTCGTGCTATAACAAACGCTATATTTCACGTGGCCAACAATATTTTGTCGCATACATTCAATTACTCATTACACTGTTGTCCCGTCACCTTGTCAACGTCTTATATATACAAGACTAACATATATCTAGTAAATGCTAGGGCATTCTTGAAGGAACAGGATATTTCTAGAAAACGGGTGGCGTGATACTAGTCACGTGACCTCGCTGACGCAACACTATTAACCTTTAAGTAAAGACAAAACAAAGACTCTTATTGTACACCTAAATGTTTTAAATGTTATTATGGTTCAGAGCTACGTAAAAATACACAGGAAACGTTTTTCATAATATTAGTAGTGCGGTGGAACAGCCCCAGTAGCTCAGCGGTAAGTCTGAAGGCTTATTACGTTAAATTCTGGATTTCGGTACCCGTAGTGGGCACAGCACAGATAGCACATGGTGTAGTTTGGTGCTGAACAACAAACTAACAAAATTGGTGGTACAATCAGAGTTGTAGCCAGCTGTGAATCATTACATAAAATATCTGTTTTCATAAAAGAAAACAACAGACATGCCAGACTGTTATATACTGTTATTATACACTGTTTTCATAAACTGTTATTCTACACTGTTTTGATAAACTGTTATTCTACACTGTTATAATTCACTGTTATTATATACTGTTATTATACACTGTTATTATACACTGTTATAATACACTGTTGTTATACACTGTTTTTATACACTGTTATTATACAATGTTATAATACACTGTTATTATATACTGTTATTATACACTGTTTTTATACACTGATATTATACACTATTATAATACACTGTTATTATACACTGTTTTTATACACTGTTATTATATACTGTTTTTATGCACTGTTATTATATACTGTTATAATACACTGTTATTATATACTGTTATTATACAATGTTATAATACACTGTTATTATATACTGTTATTATACACTGTTATTATACACTGTTATTATATACTGTTTTTATACACTGTTTTTGAAAATAAAAAAATGGAGCCAGTATGTTCTTTCTGAGTCAAATATTGTAATAGGGTTACAGCCGTCGTTATAACCCGCCAGTAGTAGTTCGGTAACACAGTTACCATCATCAGCCGTCGTTATAGTTATAACTTACCAGTAGTAGTTCGGTAACACGGTTACTATCATCAGCCGTCGTTATAACCCACCAGTAGTAGTTCGGTAACACGGTTACCATCATCAGCCGTCGTTATAGTTATAACTTACCAGTAGTAGTTCGGTAACACGGTTACCA